TTTTTTTTTGAAAAAAATTCTGAATATAATGTTTTGAAAAATTAAAATCCATACCTTAGACAGGATGGCGTCCAGCATGGGCATGTTGGACTCCTGCGCCTTGATGGTGTGCGAGAACGAGCAGTACGTCTTGTTGGGCAGCAGCTGGTCGATGGGCACCTGCTTGACGCCGAAGATGACGCTGGCCTCGGAGATGTCCTCCTGGATGACGGCGCCCGCGTTTTGGTAAGCGAGCATCGGGTAGGCGCGCCGGTTGGAGGGCTGCAGCAGCACCTTGACGCCCATGCGGGTGAGCCGGCGCACGTTGGCGGGCGCCAGGGGCGCGCGCCGCTCCCACACGGACTGGTCCTCGCGCCGGACGGCGATCACCTTGCCGCGGAGCGCGCTCAGCTCCTGCGGGCGGACAGGGCGGACAGTGTCAGGGGCAAGGGTAAGCGTCGGTCAGGTGGTGTAAAAACGGGGCCGTCCCAATACTACGCAACTTTTAGGGGGGGAGGGGTACAAATATTATTATAGGGCCACAAAAGGATCAGGACCATAGTTGAAGCTCGTAGGATCCCATGATATTTGTACCCCTGGGTACAAATATTATTGGGTTCCTATGGACTCCAATGGTGTTCCTGATCATTTTTGGGACCCTATAATATTTGTACACCACCACCTAAAAGTCACGTGGTATTGGAACGACCCCTAAGGTTCAGCCGTCGTGGACCTTTCTTACCGGCCTTCCGGCGGTGGAGGACGAGGCGCGGACTCCGTCGGCGAGCTGCTGGTCGCGCGCCAGCCCCGCGCGGGCGGCGCGGCCTGCGAGCCGGAACAGCATGTCGGAGGGATTCTGCAATAAAGAGAAACGGACGTGCCGGAAGTTATTCGAAAGAGGGAGGAATTAGAAATAGACTGCGCGTGCGGCGATTGTGCGGGCCAGCTGATCGTGTTTGTGTAGCATCGCCCATGTGGAGGCCGGCTCTGAGTGGAGCGCCCTGACAACAAGGGTCGTCAATTGCTGCCTCCTCCTCCTTCTTCTCCTCCCAAGCCCTCGTTGTGGCCCAGTGGCCTCGGGGCCGGGCCGGCGGGCCGTCCGCGGGGAGAAGGGGCGGGGCGGTATTCACTTCGATTTTTACGGTTTTTAACATTTCGTGGTCCAGGCCAACGCGCAGTTGATCAGACGTGATCCCCTCAAACTTTGTCTTCCGCATTCGAGCCGGTAAGACGGACGCAGTTCGTCAGTAGCTCGTCCTCCAGTCGTTATCAGGCTATAGTGTATTTCGACTAACGGAGGAGGAAGAAAAGCGGGTGCGGGTAGAACATAAAGGTTTCTGATTGGTCGAGCCTTTACCCCCACTACCGGCGTGACGTAGAGGCGGGAATCTCTCGACCAATCGTGAACGTTTATGTTCTAGCCGCTCTTCTTCTTCCCTCGTTAGTCGAAATACACTATAGGCGCCGCGACGAGCGCGCACGGATGTTGGCGTCCCGCACCCAAACAACAGTGTTTATTTGGTTGGGACACTGGCCTCAAAATGGCCGGCTTAAATAATACAGGGGTATCCACAGACCCCTTCCTTTATTTTGTTTATACTGTACCGCGGATGCAGGCTCGCGGCCGGGTTGCATACTCGCACGGGGCCGTAAGGCGCAACAGCGAGCTTGGGTGGGCAAGCCCGCCCGCACGCCTGCATGCGGTACAGTATAAGCAAAATAAAGGAAGGGGTCTATGGACCACCCTGTATTTGACTTGTGTGCCTGAAACAATAACGTTGTGCTTCCAGGACAGTTCATGCTCCAATCCAATTCAAAACTGTGTTTGGGTGCACGATGAAAATATTAATCTGAGTGCCTCTCGACACAGAACCCTCAAACCGTTTCCTTTACTGTTTGTCTTTACCAGTTTGTTTAAAAAGTTGGCGAGTTTTGATCGATTTTGTTTACTTATAAAACTTTCGGTTTACGAGAATAACAAGAAACGATAATTTAACGGACAATGGGCGCTTGTCACTAGGCTCGATGATGATGACAGAAGTCATGCGATAAACGCAATCCCAGCGGCGATAAGCTTAGAGTGATGCGCCCGGTACAGCAGCCATCATCCGAAAACGTAGCGCGGGCGGTATACGGAGCAGCTCGAATTCCAATTGGTGTGTCAGAGCCGCTCGGTTTTTATTTTAAGCGTTGACAGTGTTCTATTGACAGAATATGTCACTACCGCGACGCTTATCGAAACTCAGAAACCGCGATACAGGGCTACGTGCCGTGGAGGGCGGCGACTGGGCGGCGAGGGGCTGCCATCCCCTCCCCTCTCCCACACTTTGCCGTACACATGTCCTCCACCGAAAGCCCAAGACCCCAACGACGAGTGAGGTTGGCCCCGTGACCGACGGGGTGGCCCCCGACCGGCGACCCTGTCGGGCTCAGATTTCTGGTCCAATTTCAGTGACCTTCGGCTCGACGTCGAGGCACGCTGCTGATTATATAGAGAGATAAAGATGATAATGATTTATAATGATGTTGATGACGATGACGATCCCGCGGTTCGAGAGAGGATGAGTGGGGGGAGGGGGGGGGGGCTAGCCGCGTAACTCAACACACACTTTTATTTCAACTTTCAACAGATATAGTTGACACGCTTGTTCATTACGAACTGGAGCCAGCAATTAGTCGGGTCAGGCTGGTCAAAGGCATCGCGTCCTGCGTCCGCCCCCCGCCCAGGTCTGAGTCTATCAGGTGGCTGATGAACCCCGTAAACTTCTGCAGTTCTATTGGACCGCATGCCTATACGTGCGGGCGGGCGGGTTGCCTCCTCGCTCAGCATATCAGGCGCCATGGTCAGGGACGATAGGCAAACCCGCACGCACGCCTGTGTGCAGTACAGTATAACTACACAGAGAAGTGCGTGAAGTTTTTTAGCCACTTAGTATGTATGAACGGTGGGTGTTTTTCTGGTTATATAAAAATACCGACTCTCACCCCGGCGCCCCTGGCACCGTATGGCCTCGTGCGAGTACGCAACAGTTTAAATGACACTACTTTTGTCACAGTACTAATTCCTTCATTTTTGAATGTTTGCTGCTCCAGGTGTTTGTTTTTTCAAGCACGTTGAGTGCGGCGAGACCCAAACCATGGTTCCCAATAGGATATGATTGCCTTCCCCCGCCACACCGACGTGTTAACACAAATTTTAACGCCTACGTGGGGGAGCCACCCACCTCCTGCGTCACGTCCTCAACTTACCGTACTCTAGCGTTTACTCGTGTTTTCTGTTTCCTGTCTGGCAAAGGCTTGACCGAGAGAGCCTCCCCTAAAAACGAAGCAGCAGTTCTCGCGAGGTCGACGCCGTCATCTTCGCAATCGAAACCCCTTCAGACGCGCGCGCTCTTTCGGGAAGGAGTCGTCGACGGTGGCCTGCAACGGCGGCGGCGGCGGCTGCGACGGCGCGACTGATGACCCTGGCCGGGGTGACACTGTGGCTCTCCTCTCGCGGCTGTCGCGGTCCGTTCGGGTGTCTCCCGGGGCACTGATGGATGCGGGGCGCGGCCGGCGGAGCGCCTTTGGGCCAGTGGCCGCGCCGGCCGGCGGCACGGTGGCGGTGCAGTGGCGATCCACGACGTGCAGTGTGCGATACACACACTGTGTGTGCGCAAGGCTCGCCACCCCCTCCCTCCTCCCCCTCCCCCGCGGCCCCCGTTCTATCTGTGGTGGACCTCCGGCAACAATCTCATCATCTTCAGCTATTTCCACACAGCACTATGACGAAGGGAGGGGGGGGGGGGGTAATAAACCCCAAATAAGGTAGGAGATGTGCTCGGAGATGTGCATATCCTTGATCAGTTGCGAATGTGACCAGAATGTGACGAAATGTGCATCGCACCCGATCACAAAATTATTGTTAACGTCCTACGATTTGCAACGCTTCATATTATATTTGTGTGGGTGTGTGCGGCACGTGGACAATAATTGCGCCTCGAGCTCGAAGAGAACAAAAGCATAATGTAGGCGGATCGGGGGTGATGGTGGTGGACTGGTGGTGGAGATGGGGATGGGGTGGCTAGGGGAGGGGCGGGGGGCGGCACAGCCGAGAGAGAGAAAGAGAGAACACAACACCATGTGTGTCGGGTGACAGTTTCAGACAGAGTCATAAAATGGTTGAACGCGTTTCACAGAAATCCGACTCTACGGCTGGCATATGACCAGACCAGAGGCCGACGCCGCGCCGCGGCTCGGCTCACAGGTGGCCACATTCACACTGGGCTGGGGGTGGGGCCGAGGGTGGGGCCGAGAGGCCCAGGACCGAGGTAGGGCCGCACAAGTTGTGGCGAGAAATCGGAGCGAGCGCACTTTGCAGGCCAGGCGTGTGGTTGTGGGGGGGGGGGGGGGGGGTCATTTCCCAGGAAAACTCGGAGGTCCTTTCCGGTCACATGTCTCGGGGGCGTTTCTGTTTGGGACGCGGGTGTAGAGCATAATATAAACTGTTGGCACTTCGTGACGCGTCGAATTATTATAAACAATTATTATGATTAATTACTTTATGATCATGAGACTTGGAGCTCGCCCAGGTCCATTTTATATTTCTACTACATATTCTGTATGTTTTGAACCGTTCCGGCCTCTATTTACCATGAGCTAAGGAAAGACGAGTAAGGGTTGAAAATTTGGAGGGGTGTGCAGCAGTGCAATACTACTGTAGTGGTAAGCAGGCACGTTGCAACGTGTATGCCCCTTTACCGTTTTAATCGTTCGTACGCAAACAAGTTCAAAGACAAGTGACTCTTTGTGCATTGTGGCAACATACCAGAAGATAGATGGACCAAAAGTGCAAGCCTGGCGGAATGCAGACGCGGCCGGATGCTGGGCTCGGGGCTCGGGCCGACATACGCAGTCAGTCGCGCCGTGCTCTCCAACCAGAGCAGCCTTACTCCATGGCAGCCGCGCATCACGGACTATAACAACAAGAGTAAGAGCGGTAGCAGCCAGGTGGCTGATTCACCCCGCGCCCTTCTGATGTTATGCTACACCGCATTACTGTACGTGGGGGCGGGTTGCCTACTCGCTTTGCCCTTAGGGGGGCCATGGTCGGGGGCAATATGCAAGCCCGCCTCGACGCTTTGCGAGCGGTACGAAAAGTGCGCGGGGTTAATCAGCCACCTGGTTGGTATCGATGACCTGACAACGTATCTTGCCAGAGGGATTCCAGTCCGCACCACAAAAGTGCCTCTCCGGCGCGAGAAAAATTGTACCAAAGTTTTGATAATATTTTGTATTTTTAATCCATGGCTTAGTCAAATTTCTCGACATCGGCTGCGCTCGCCATTTTGCGAAAATATTGTGAAATATGAAAAGATTTATATCAACAATTTATTGAAAGTGATATGAACTACTTTCACCAATAATCCAATAATAGAACTGTCTGTCGTCCTTTGCATGGTGACAACGCGCACATGTCAATATGTAAGTGCACTGCCTTACAAAGGGCCAGGGGCTATTCACGGGGACACGTCTATACGTCTGTAAGCGTCTGTACTGGCGGGCACCTTGCTGGCGGGGCCGGCGGGGCCGGCCGGCGGCAGGTATGGAGCGTGCCGCGGATCCTAGCGGAGCCCCGGCGGCGGCACCGCAAAGGGTCAGGTGCCGGCTCGAGTTTGGCGACCAGATGTGATAATAAAACTCAGGTGCCCATCCACGTCGACAATGAGAAAGAAGGTACTGCAAAGACATCTGCAAGCCATGCCCAGCGCAGCGCTGGCGACGGGGAGGCCGTGGGACTCGGGTGGACTGGGTGGACGGGCAGCAGGAGGAAGCCCCTCGGTGGCAATATCTGAAATTTGAGTGGCGGAAAGGTGTTGTGTGTTCTGCGTGTGTTTTTCGACTCTCTTCCATGGAAGAGCCACCCGTGCGGTAACTGATGCTGCGAGTTAATTAAATATCAGACCAATATATACTATGAGAATGTGTGTGTTAATTTCGGATCAATTTCTTTATCGATCTGATGCGAAAACCGATGAATTTTTGATGTCAGTTGTCGTTCCGATATCGATCTGATTGTTCGTTGCTCGCTGACATGCAACATCGTTCGACTGTCAGCTCGACTTTCGGTGGCACACTGTCTGCATTTTGGCAGAGTCAGCTAAACGTGGGTGTTAACAGCTGGCCGCGCAGGTAGAAGAGGCAAGAAAACGACAACAAACGCCGTGATGCTGACGTTCGCAAGAATTAGTAGAACGCAAAAGTAAGAACAGAGCAAGAGCAAATTTTTTACTCCGCTACGGTGTTAGTTTTTTACCCATCTAATGCTTTTCTTGAGAGAGTGTAGAGTATAGTTCATTCGCTAAATGTAGACACACCGGCATCCCTCTAAACCCGAGGCCCCATTGTAAGCGTCATTACGATGCGTGGAGCCCGGTCCCCGGCCCCCGCCCGACCCCTAGCTAGACCTGCCAACATATTTTCATTGGGAGAGCGGAGGCCGGCGAAGCAGGCGCGGGTGTCTTCGGCAACTCTAGGCCGAGGGATCGACCCTCGTAATGAGCGTAACCAGGCCGTTTATGAGGGCGACAAAGAAGGGCCAGCGATTGTTTCGATTTCCTTTGCGTGCCGGTGTGTCTACATTTAGCGAATGAACTATAGGGAACCTCTTGTAGTGTAGTGTTAGTGTTAGTGCTAGTGTCAGTGTTGTGTTGAGGGCCAAGGTCGCAAATAGCAGTCTGAAGTAAGCGTAAGCATGGCGCCTGCGTCTCCCGCGTCCTCCGTGGGGGTTGGTCCGAGGGGGCGCGACGCAATCGACTCGTCGACCTGCAGCCCTGCAGCACGCACAACCTTTTGGCAGGATGGGGACTCAGTACTCGTCTCCCCGTCCTCAAGCCCACGCGGAAAGGGTTGCCCTAGTAGTGGCCTCTGTCTGTGTTGCAGCTCCAGGGGTTCCCCGCCGCCCCTTGCCGAGCCGGCCCCTCCCTCGGCAGCGTCCTCTCAAGGCTGCGTCTTGTTGCCACCCTGCTCTCCTCTCCTCCCCTCGCCCCACCCCCGCCCTTCCCGACCAGCCTCAACAACAACAACAACAACACCCCCCTGCCCCTTGCCCTCGCCTCAGCCCGCTCGCCGGCCGCCGCCCGGGCCCGGGCTGCAACCCCCTCCCCTCCCCCACCCCTAGTCAGCAACAGTCGACAGTCCAGTCCAGTCAGTCTGCAAGGTGCGCGCCGCCCCGCAGCACCATGCCGTTCCGCGTGTGCCAGCAGGCCCTTTTCCCCGACGGGGTCGCGGCCGCCGCCGAGGCCCTGCCGCACAACATGGCCTTCCCCGTGGACGCCCCGCCGGCCCTCCGCCGGACGACGCGCGCCGACAACGAACGCTTCGCGGTGCTCATCGAGCACGTCGACCTCCCCACGTCGCTGACGTGCAGCAACATGCTCATGGAGGCCCTGACGCATCAGCTGACCGGTTGCGGCGTCGACGTGCTTCCCGGCCAGGTGGCCTTGCTGAGGCACCGGCTGGCCGTCCAACTCGCCCTGCACCGCCGCCGCTACCTGGACGCCATCGTGGAGGCCGTGACCAGGAACTACGGGTACTACGACGGCAACGCCTACCTCGACCTCAACCGCATCCCCAACATGCAGGCCATGGTCGACGGCTACATCCGCGATACGGGCGACGCCTGGACGGCGAGGGCGTTCGGCGTGGAGGTGATTCAGGCCTGCGCGGACTCCGAGGCCGTCAACATCCTGATCCTGTTGCCTGGCCACGGCACGTCCATGGTCAGCCCGCACGAGGGTATTACGCCCCTGAGGACCGTGTGTCTGCTGTGCTCTGACAGCGAGTGCGCGCCAAGATACTCGAGCGTCTTTAGAGTGGGCTGCTACCCCCCGTCCGTCACCACCCCTTCGCTGCCGCCGGCGCCCCCACCGCTGTGCTCGCCTCCTCAGCTGTCCCCCGACTCTGGACTGGAGTCGACGCCGTCTCCACGTCCCAGTGGGCACTGCGCTGAGGTCCAAATCAAATCTGAGGGCGAAGAGGACTCTACCGCAAGTGGACTTAGTTCCGGCTGGAGTGATAGTGATGTGAATAGTGTCAAATCTGAAGATCTTGGACCCGGCATCAAAAGTGGCAGTGAGGAGCAGTGCGCCAGCAGTACGCGTCCAGTTCACGGGCGCCGGCTCATGAGGATCCCCGTGCAGGACAAGCCGTTGACGCTCGCGACGTGGAACGTGGGCTACTTGTCCGCGGCGGGTGCTTGCCGAGGGGCGCCTCTGTCGCCGTGGTTGGGGAAGCAGGTGAATGGGCCCTCGGGGGTGGCCCGCAGCCTGGCTGCCAACGGCGTCCAGATTGCTGCCCTGCAGGGACACGCTCTGGAGTCCAGCATCGGCGAGCTGGAGGGCTACACGGTGTTCGCCCACGGCGGCGTCGGCGCGAGCAGCACGGAGACGGGCTTCGCGGTCCGGGACGACCTGGTCGGCGCGGTGAGCAGCTTCGTTTCCTCGCCGTCGTCACGCGCGTGCCGGCTGGACCTGTTCGCCACGCCCATGAACGTGTCCCTGGTGAGCGCGTTCGCCCCGCCCGAGGACGCCGCCGAGGAGGTGCACGAAAGCTTCTCCAAAGCGCTGCGCACCATGGTGAGCGCCGCCCCCCGCACCGCCGTCCTCGTCGTGCTGGGTGACTTCGGCGCCGAGGTCGGCCGCCAGCCGAACTCGCTCAGGTGCGTCGCGGGGAAGTCCAGCCTCCACCGCGACTACAGCAGCAACGGGGTGCGCCTCGTGCACTTCGCCAGGCGCAACGACCTGGTCATCAGGTAAGCGCGAAGTGAAGCCGTGGCCGCGGAAACGCGAAATAAACGTCACCTTCTGCGATCAACTTCACCACTCGTGTGTTTCGCCCGCCAGGTCGACCATACTGGACAAGAAGGCGGACGCGCGCGCCACCCGGATGACCGTGGAGCGGCTCGCCGACGGCTCGGAGCGGATATCATGCAGCCAGGTGGACCACGTCCTGGTGCGCAGGTAGGGTCTTCGTGTTGATCTGGCTCTGGTGCTGTGTCCTGGGGGCGAGGCTATGATCGCAACCTCTGAACGACTGACCTCTAACCGTGCACGTGGATTTCCCGATAGGCAGTACCGCGGCTCCGTCCTGGCCGTCCGGTCCGTCCCGAGCGCCGGCCTCAGCGACACCAACCACCGCATGGTCCTGGCCGTGGTTTCTGTCCCGTACGGCGTGCTGGCCAAGAGCAAAAACGCAGAACGGCCAAAACCATCCGTCTCGCAGGTGAGTTTTCAATGACATTTGCTCTTGAAAAACCGAATGCGTCGGTTGAGTGTGTGAAGTCTTACGCTAAATGCGCACTGTGTCATGTGCTCGCAGGTCTTGGAGAAGATGCTGCTGTGGAAGAAAGCGGACGACGCGGCCGAGGAGATGTACCGTCGCCTGACGAACCGGACGGTGGCGGTGAAGGAGGAGCACCTCAAGCAGGAACGGGAGGGCCAGAACGGCGGGGATCTGGACGACGTGATGGATGACCTCGGAAAAATATTGCAGGAGATCAAGGAGTGCGAGACCAAGATAGAGAGCAAGTCTCGCCACAGCGAACCCCGTCACCGTCGGCTCCCTTCCCCGGTAAGTCGGCCTCCGAACGGCCTTCAAGACGACCATGGCAGTGGAAAAGTCCTGCAGGACGAGATCAAGGAGTGCGAGACGAAGATAGAAAGTAAGTCTCGCCACAGCGAATCCCGTCACTGTCGTCGGCTGTTCTCCCCAGTAAGTCCGCCTCCGAACGGCGCCGATGACGGCCTTGGAGAAGTCCTCCAGGGCACTAAGGAGTGTAAGGCCAAGTTAGAGAGGAACGACTCTCGTCACCATCGGCTCCCCTCCTCAGTAAGTCCACCTCCGAACGGGGTTGATGACGACCTTAGAGAGGTCCTGCAGAGCAGTAAGGAGGCAAAGACAGAGAGGAGGCTTCATCACCGCGACTCCCGTCACCGCCACCGTCACCGTCGGCGCCGTCTCCCCTCCCCGGTCAGCCCTCCCTCTCCTGCACGAGCGCCCCGTAGCGCACCGGTCGCATTCCAAGTGATGATCCCTAGTCCCAGCGCCTCTTGCTGGGTGCTCCCTCGTGGTCATGACCGCCCTAATCCTTACTGCGACACCCCGCGAGACCGTCGTCGGAGGGGTATGTTCGGCCAAGAGGCCTCGGGCAACGCGCCACAAAACAGTAACGAAAGGGTTGCTCGCTTTCGCCCTTACTAGTCCTTTTAAGGCGTTGGAATTATTCATGTATTTTTTGATCTCCAGTTTTGATGTTTTTACAAACTGTTTATGACTGTTTTTTTAAAGAAATATTTTATAAGTTTTTTACCATATTTTTAGGGCATGACGAATGTTGTGTTTTTTGATCTCCAATTATAGTGTCTATTAGAATAAGGAGCAGTCCGTGTACTTTTTAAAAGTTTGTAATAATAATGATAATGTTTTTATAACTTTTGTCATTTTATTTGGAAACATTTTCCCTCACATTCATACAAAATGTTTTGCTTGGCCTGACGATAAGAGCAACACTATCGGCTAAACCAAAATTTTGGCAGTGAAATGAGACGTCCCAGGCATGATACTTACAGCACATTTTCACATTAAATATCATCTTTGGTATTCAACAATAATCATCTGATAAAAAAATCCTACTGAATTCTAAAGTATGTTACTGATTTCTCCTAACATAACTTAAAACGTTAATTAAATTAAAACAATAAAAACAGGACACAGATAATTGATTAACTGATTTCTAAAAACTAAGATATGTCACATCATTTTCGTATTTTTAATTTGAATTTTTGAGTTTTTAGAATGCTGCAATAGTAACCAAATCCAGTCTTAGTCTTACTTCAGAGCATTGTTCTAAACACTTGAACCTATACCTACATCACCACTCAAATATCTACAAAACACAAATGGCACTACACTTTACAATTTGTAAAGATTTAAGATCAATTCCTCTTCTCAGTTTACTGAATTAATGGCACATGCCAAATATATAACTGACAAAAATGACTGAAGGACGGTGATCATGATTTCATTACTGTTTCTTGTATCTTGGGAACTATGTTCACATAAATGATGGTAAAGTCCAAACAAATAATGAAGCCTGATCTATAATATGTTGTATCACATGCATAAGTAATCAACCATAGATGTATTCACTGTGATATGTAAGTCGTGTGGCCTCATACAGCCACAAACCATGACACACAAAACGACTTAGGACTACAACACATTGAAGATCGAGCTTAATAAATACACATTCTGAAGATACTAATCAACAGCCACAGTTATTTTTCTTTTGTACTACGCAAATTTGGGAATCATAAGTCCATTGGTATCCTTTTAAAACTTTTATAATGCTGGCAAGAAGAGCAGTGTCTTTTCATATGTACCATTACTTTCAAGCTAATAAATATGTCTATCAGTTTTCCTAGTCAGCATAACCCTGATGCATAGATGACATTTCGTATCTTTCAAATAACAACCCCTAAAAAGTGTACCTCACACTTCGATTAATAAATCACTTTCCCAACAGTTTTAGACATTTTTTTTTATATTCATGGATCTGGCTCAAGCGCTAATTGCTTGAAACAATTACTTGGAAGTGCTTCACTGATCTCTCCTATATTGTCAACTTCAGCAACTAATCGTTCAAGATCTTCTTGATAGCTCTTCATCCATTGAGTCTGTAATAAAAAATAAATAATTGCTCCATGAGTACTAAAAGATCTTTAAGCAAAGAAAATCAAGCTTACTGCTGTTAGGAAAAACCGTACCTGAGCCTGTTTAGCACTTGTAAGAGATTCAATGCGATTATCAAGATTTGCACGATCAAACTCTTGTTTTGCTGCCTCTAATCTTTCTTCTAAATTGTTCAAATCCTGAGAGTCATCATCTGCAATTTATGCAAGCATTAGTTGTGACATTTTTGTTTTTTTAAAAAATCACCTTAGAAATTACACATTAATAAAGATAATTTGGTAGTAGAAGAAATTCTTACTTGTGTCAGAGTATTCATTCAATTCTTTGATGATTGCTTCTACTTCTTCTAAGGCTTTCTGCACTTGTTTTGCTGCATCTGATACATCACTCTTTGCTTGTCCCACATTCTTTTTGGCACTGGAAGTAAGGTCTTCATCTCGTGTGGCTTGTTGTTCCAATTGGCCTACATTCCTACCAGTTTCAACGACGCGTTCAGCCAGCAAATCTGCTTCATCTCTCAACTTTCCAGCCTTTTCCTTGGTTTCTTGTGCTCCCTGTCGGATCTCATCGGCCTCCTGAAATACATTTCAGCAATATAAAAGTTTGACTTTTTTCAGAATGTACTGTAATAAAATGAAAAATGTACAAATGAATTGTAATGGATTATTCCCCTTTGACACACCTTACTAGCCTGGTCAGCATATTTCACTTGAGCATCCTGTGCAGAGTCCCGGGCATTTTGGGAATTTGTCTGAGCACCCGCTAAAGCAAGCCGAGCATCATTTGTTTTGATCTTTGCCTCTGTGATGAGCTGAGTAATATTTGGCTTTTGTTTCAAAGCTTTGGGTGCTTGTGCTCTACTTTCTTGAACTTGTTTGTCAAACTCTAAAACAAATTTTAGAAACAAAAAAAAATTAACAATTATTATAATTCACTTTTTCATGCATACTTTCTTTGTGTTGACATACATAAAAATATTAGTTATAAACACAATTTTTTTTCTTAAAAATTCATAATTATGGTATCTACATTATTTATTTAAACAATGACGGCTCAGCCCAAAACAGAGCCCTACTTTCTTAGAACATGTATTAGTACAGATTATAATCAATAGTAAAACAATTTTTAAATTTTTAAAAGAGATTAAATTGACTAACTTTGAAGTGTTGCATATGTTTCTTGCGCTTCCAGGAAAATTTTCTCTCCTGTTTCTACAGCTTCTGTTGCCTTCGCATAGGCAGCATCAACTTGGGACAGCAGTTCCGTTGCTTTGTCTCTCTGTTGCTCTCCCGCCTGAAGGAGGCCCTCTGACTGTTCCATTTGAATATTTAGATCCTTAAGCAATTCTGTGTGAGAACTGACAAGTTCCTCAGCATCTGTTTTCATTCTCTCTGCCTGAAAACAAATAAATTTGGGGGGTGAAACTCAATCTTTTATCTTGACAGAGCTGATAGATCCAAGTGTCATCAGACATGTAAACACAAAAGAACTTCAAAGAACTTACTTCTACTTTTGCAATATTAGCATCTTCCTTTATTTTTGGTACATTGATATCCGGCAGAATAAGAGCAAAAATATCACTGTAAACACTCAGTGCATCTTCATGAGTAGCATTTACTCGAGCACTAGTCATGGTAGCATACCCCTTAATCCCTTCAAGCTTTTGGCCAAGTTGAACAATATCTCCTCCCAGCTTGCGTAGCTCATTACTACAAAGAAATAAAAAGGCCAGGTATCAGATAGCTTAAAGACAAGTAATCAGCAATAAAAACAATACAAATGCCTTTCATTCTGAAGAAAATTACCTGGTATTTTGCTGTTGATTTAGCGCAGAATTAGCTAAGGTGAATGCTTTGGATGACACATTCTTGGCCTCTTCAGCAATTTTCTTTATCTTTTCTACCTCATCTTCTTGCCTGGAAAGCAGAGATAAATGTAAGTTACGAATCCTTAAGGGCTTTGGTGCTTTACAAATGGGGTAAAATTTTGACTAACTGTTCAGCTTTAGTACGAGCTTTTCGGACTATATCAGACATCTGAGCACTTCTCTGACCAAATTCATTGGATCGATCCAAAGCTTTTTGAAGTGCAGCTTTACCATCAGTTTGGAGATACTCCATAGTGTTCTGAAATTTGTAGGACACACTTTTGTAGTTTGCCAGAAAGTTAAATGAGAAGAAAGTACAATAGTTCAAAATAAATTCAAGTTACCTTTAGGTTTGACTGAATTCTTTCAATAGTCTTTTCTGCCATTGTAACATTTTTTTCACCTTGTTCTGTTGCAATTGCTGCTTGCTTTGTCCATTTCTTCACCTGAGTTGTTGATGATGCTACAGCTTCCAACTGCTTACGGAAATCTTCTATTTTCTGTAGTAAACTTGTGTCCTCGCCTTCAATAAAATAATTTTAAAATGAAATTATTAATAATAATAATAAAAAATTACCAATATAGTTTGTAGTGATTTATTCATAAGGGAGAGAAAGCAAACAAATTGAAATGATTGAAAAAACTTACTTCCAGCACCTGTCTTCGCATCTTCATGAAGTTTATCAACATTCCTTTGCACTTCAGCCAAGCGGCTTTCAAAATCACTGTCATCTGTTGTAGTAGGATTATTGGCAATGTCTTTCAGAACGCGTTTCAGTTCATTTAACTTTGAACGATGAGCTGATACAGCGTCCTGAACTAAATTATAGCAAGCAGGACAGTCACGGCAACCATGTTGACGATCATATTTGTTTTCTTTACAGCGGTCACACCGTCTTCCTTCCACATTTTCATAACACTGTAAAAAACAGATTTTCATTCATTACTATCTACAGCTCGGAAAATTAGTGTTAAAATCTCTAGAACAAAACTTCTTACTGGACACTGTCCTGATGGATCACATTGTAAGTTAGTGGATCCAATTCCATCACAATCACAAGGTTTGCAGCCATCAGTGGAAAAGCCATAGTGATAGGGAAGACATTGATCACAGTGAAGACCAGTAATTCCTTCACGACACACACACTGGCCAGTATTGACATTACATGTGTGATTTACTGAGCCAATAGGATCACAGTCACATGCTTGGCAACCCTAGAAAGTAATTTGTCTATTAAAGTCTGATGCTGCGACAATCTACCAGAATTCCTGATAAAGACATGAAACACTTCCAGTACCTCTCCACTCAAAATGTTAAAGTAGCCAGGCTCACAAGAGTCACAGTTGGTACCCAAAACGTGAGGTTTACATTGGCACTGGCCAGTAAACTGATCACAAATAAGTGGTCCAAATTTAGTTTCATTAGTCCCATAGGGGGAACATTGGCATGGTTTGCAGTCTCCCTTGGTTTGAGAAAGTGGATCTCCATAAAAGCCTGAAAATATTAATTTAAAAAAATGAAAAACACAGCACCAAAGAATTAAATATATTTCTTCAAAAACTTCATTTGTATTCTAACAGAAATGTTATATGCATACCTGGGAGACATGATTCACATTCAAAGCCTCCAGTATTGTAAATACATTTTAGGCACTCTCCACTTGTACGATTACAGTTCCCAACAGCATTTGGGTCCACATTTTCATTACAGTCACATGCCTGGCAAAGTTTTACATCGCCAAACCGGCCTGTAGGATCTCCATAGAATCCATCGCTGCAAAGATCACATTTAGGACCTAAACAGGTAAAGATAGTTCTTTTAGATCACTTCTATTACAATTTGAATGTTACAGTTGTAAACATATAGAGGAGTGAAACACCATTGCCAGCTTACCTGCGTATCCCTTGGGACATTCCAGACAAATAACTGTTTCATCAGGAAGCTGGAAGCATGGACCCCCATCAGGGCAAGGACAGGGCTTGCAGTCATTGGATGTCTGTTGTAAGGCATTTCCATAATATCCCTTGGCGCATCTGTCACAATTGTCACCAGCTGTATTGTGCTGGCAAATACAGCGACCTACAAAAATACTTGAGTTAGACCATACTGTAAAATGTTAAGAAAGATAAACTATAATTCCAATCCATTTTTTAGATTCTTTTCAGTTACCAGTGTCTGCATCACAAATGTCAGCATGTCCATGGCAGTTACATGGGACACAACGGGCAAATGGTCCACCATGAACTGGGTCATGTCGAAAACCTGGAGCACACGATTCACAAAATTGGCCCACATATCCTTCTGGGCAAGTGCACATTTCAATCCATTGGGCTGATTGCCCAGCTGCACCACGTCGGGCAGCTTGAAGCTTGACATCGTCCAAGAAGCCGACTCCCTCTGGAGTGTATGTTCCTCTGATCTTGATAGCAGTCAAATTGGAGAGCAAAGACATCAGCTCGCGAGCAGTGAGACGAGGTTGCCACCCATAGTCTTGATTTTCGTGTAGACGGAAGGTATATTCCTGGTCCTAATAGATAACAAAAAGAACATTAACGATAGTGATACAAATATGGGAAAGAATGCAGGTATGAGAAAAAAGTGAGTTGGTAATTTTTTTTCAGGCCAAGATGTACCTTCACAGTCGGAAGCTTATTGCCTTGTCCAAAGATGGCCTGGGATATAGAAAGGCCTGAGCCTTCCAATACAACATCCTGCACTGTGGGACTGGGACCATTCTCACCAATACGCAAATGGAAGCTAAGGTCTTGATTGTAGCTAGCTCTCTGATCACCCAAAAATTTATCTAAAAATGGAGCCGACAATAAAAGATTACTAGACACCAAAAAAGGAAACAGACCTGTTTTCATCAGACCTCTCACTCACCAGGTGCAACAAAGTAGACTGGATCTCGGGATGGAGCACTAACGCCAATGGTTTGTGTAATGCTGTTGTACTCAGAAGGAATGGGCTGAGCAGTGACATCTTCTGCAGTCCACTTTTCATTTCCTCTAGCAAAGGCACTTTCAATGGTAACTAAAAACAATAATGGAAATTATTATGGTTTAAGTTTGTTTGGAAGGCAATATAAGAGAATATAACAGACTAAAATAAATACCTTTAGAATATCCAGGCGCAGACTGACAAACTGAGGAATGACCATAACAGAAGCAAGGAGTGCAACCGAATTCATTCTCTGTATCCAAATTGAAGAAACCTGGTTTGCACCTGGAAAATAAAAAGGAACACGCTGTTTTAAACACGTGACCTGAAAATGATTTTATTTTATGGAATGAGAGCAGGACTGATCCCAGCCAGGAGGGTCCCGGCCGAGAGGTCCTTCACTCGAACAAAATCAAAGTATACACCCCCCAAAAAAATACATAAATAAAAAATCAGTAAAAATCAGAAACAAATCAAGGAAAGGTCGGGGAAAAAAGAAAAAACAGAAAAATAAAAAACAACAGAAAAATCGGTGTACGTTTGTTGTTTTAGTAAAGGAACCCCTAGGTTCCCCAGGTCCCGGCCCGCGGTCCCGGGCCCGGGCCGGCGCACTTACACTGCGCATCGCTTCCCCTCGACGTGCTCCTTGCAGGCGCAGGCGCCGGAGTACGGGTCGCAGTTGGGCGAGTTGTCGGCGCTGCCGGCCTCGTTGCAGTTGCAGGGCGTGCAGCCGTGGGGGCCGAAGTCGTAGTGGTTCGCCTCGCAGCGGTCGCACTTCTCGCCCGTCACGCCGGGCTTGCACTGGCACTGGCCGCGGGCGTTGCACTGCAGGCTGCGGGACCCTGGAGAACAGCAAGCAGACGGTCATCAACGCACTCCTCTCGGATATGGAAAGCTCCTCCGCGCGCCTTTAGCCGCCCACACTTACCTTTCTCGTCGCAGTTGCAGTTGATGCAGACCTTATCCTCGCGCTCGTAGAAGGTGTCCTTGCAGCGCTCGCAGTTGGCGCCGGCGCGGTTGCCCAGGCAGTCCAAGCAGTGTCCTCCGTGCCCCGTCTGCTCGTACAGGTCCTTGTCGAAGAAGCAGCGCGTCGCGAAGCCGTTGCACTCGCAGGCTGCAACACGAGAGATAGTTAGTTGCAGAATATGGTAGCGAATAGAGTTCGAGAACACAGCACGGCTTTGGATAGATCATGTAGTCAGTGAGCATCATCGATGGCAGGCCCTGGAGGACGCTGACGCGGACCTGGAGACGACGAGAGGCAGCCTGCACATACTCACTGGTGCCGCTGTACCAGGGCCTGGTGCCGTCCCACTCAGCAGCCCGGAGCAGCTGGGCCAGCTGCAGCAGTAGCAGCAGCAACAGGAGCCGCGCGCGGAACATCCTGCGTCTAGATGGGGACTATGTGTCCGCAGTGAACGAGGGTGGCCCCCGAGGGGAAGACGACCCCTCCGCGGCCAACAGCATCAACATCAACCACAACCCAGGGGACCGAACCGAACAAAATGTTTTGATTCCGCTCGAGTTTGTGGATCACAAAACCTCCTCGGCTCGGGGTTGGTGCATGACTAAAGCGGCGAAGAGCGCCAGTGTGGACGGGCGAGGAGGGGAGGAAGGTGGAGGTGGAAGAGGAGGAGGAGGTGCCGGACGCGGTACGCCCACGCGGCGCGACTCGGCCGGCGCGGTGAGGTGGGGCCTAAAGTCCTGGAGCTGTCTGGGCGCCACGGCCGCCGCGGTGCACAGTCACGGCATCGGATCAGGAATGTATCCCTCGGTTCCGGCTCGCGCCGAGGGGGACGCTGACGGCGCGGAGGCCCTGGAGCCCAACCGGAGGCTGTTGCCTTACTGGGAGACCCGCCCCACCACCAGCTGCATCAGCAGCCCAGAAACGCGCTCTTTTGCTCGTCAAATGGCGACCGGACTGTAAAGTTCATTCGCGAACGAGAGCGCGTGAGCAACGGGCCGCGCACGCCGCGCTCGCCCACTCCCAATGAGCGGCCCTAAAGGTCAGTCACGCCAACCGCGTCCTTTTGCCAAGCAAACGGCGGCGACAAGCCCATCCGCAACGCCCGACCGATATACGTGTTGTTGTAGGAGACTGTACCCGGCGGTGGGGGGCGTCACGGGTCGCGTTATGAGCTTTAGGCCGCGAGCGGCGCGCCGCGACGGGGCGCAGGACGCGGCCGTTGCGACAGGGCGCGGCGGCCACACCTGGCGGTCCCGGCGGGCGGCAACATCACCGGGGCGCTCGTTGTAGAACGATGCAGGCAGAGCGCGCCGAGTACCAGCCCGGCCTGCACTGGCCTCCTTCCTTCGTGCGCTGCTTTGCACTGCTGCTGCCGCCCTGCAAGTTCGTGGCGCCGGTTTGGCGGGGTGTCCCCTGGGTTGGTGGATGTGGGAAAGGGGGGAGGCGGGCACTCACAGCTCGCACACGACGGTTACTCGCGAAGGCCGGCCTCGGGAAGGGCCAGGGGGGTCATGACGGCCGCGAACGCGACGAGGAGCGCACCAGGTGTGCGCGGGCAGGCCAGCACGGCGGGTGCAGCCAACAAAAGACACTCGCGCGCAGGACGAGACGCGGCGGTGTGCGGCGGGGCCGGGGGCCGTGCTCCTCGCGAGCGGTCCGCGAACACACTGAACTCTCCTTACTCCAGTACAGGGCCGTGCAGGAGGGAGAGAGGGAGAGAGGCGGGCTGGACCGGAGCCAGCGGGATGGTCGCGGGGCGCGGCGGGGGAGGAGGGGCGCGGCCCGCAGACGGGCGGACCCACCTGAGCGGCGGACAGCCGGGCGGGGCTGCGCGGCCGCGGCGGTCCAGGAGAGCTGGGCCACGCGTGGACCTGGACCTCCGCTCACGGGTACTTGGCACTTCTCGGGTACCTTCCCTCCGGGCGGTCCGGGAAAGCAGGGCCAGGTGTGGACCTGGACCTCTATTTACGGGTACTTGGTACTTCTATGCTCGGGTCTACCCCCGCAGGCGCACCGGGAGAGGAGAACCAGGTGCTAGGTGTGGGCCTGGACCTGGGTACTTGGTACCTCTCGGGTACCTCCAGGCGCTTCAGGAGAGCAGGGCCATGTGACAGGTGGTGGACCTGGACCTCCACTCTCGGGTACCTCCAGGTGCTTCAGTGACAGGTGGTGGACCTGGACCTCTATTCGAGGGTACTTGGTACTTCTCGACTACCTTTGGGCACCCCGCGCGGGCACGTGCCCCGGCGCGGGCGACACAGTTGTCGGGGCCCGACCAGCCGGCCCTCGTTACGTATCGCCCGCCCCGGGCCTCGCGCGGCCCCTCCCGGGGTTTGCAGTCTCGCCCCGCGATGAAAGTGAGGCGTATACAAAGGGCTTGGCCCGCTGGAGGGCGCTGCCCCCGCTCGTGCTCCGCGCCCGGCGCCTGCGGCCCGCCTGGAGCCCGCCTGGAGGCAGGTCCGTCTCCCGCAGGAAGACTCCAGGCAGCAGGGCCCCAGACCTGGGTGGAATCGAGCTCCTGCGTGCGCTTTTGGTCGCTCGATGCCCTGCGGCGCTTTTGGACTCCGACTGGGTGGTCCATACTCAATGACTGCCGCACAGCTACCGCTTTACTGAGAAGGCCGGGCACACCAGGCCGCTGCGAAAATCCACTTCGGATTTTGCAGTTTTGCACTCTATGCATGCGTCGAGCATGCATTCCTTCTTATCCTTATCGTCTTTAACAGTAGCCATGGCGCCTTATAGGGATCATCCAGAAGGTTCGTCCGTCATTCGCCGTTACGAATCTGCCAAGTTCAGCCCCTGCAAGCTCGCAAAGCGCCTGGTGGGTAGGTAGGCCTGTAGTGCATGTGTGTACTACGGGGTGGCCTACCTTGAGTCTCGCAGGCGTCGAGCTCCCGTAATTTGCCGAATGCATCTGAGATAAGACGCATACTTCCTGGACGATCCCTTACGGCCCGAGTGGGCAACCCTCCTACACGCGTGCATGCAGTACTGTATAACTACAAGGTGTTTTTGAGCCACCTGATCTGATGCCATCTGCGAGGGGCACCGAGAGGGCGTACCACGGACGGGTAGGGCCATGGATGACTCCACTCCACTTGAACAAGCGGTCGTTGTTTAGGATCCTAGTTCTAGTTGAAGTCGAAGTAATATAGAAGTTGAATTGGCATAGTAACGAGGCCGCGAAAACTCAGATGGTTCTAAATTCAACAGGTGGCTGAGGATAACTACAGAAGTGCGTGGGGCAAATCAGCCACCTGACCTGGTATGTATACGATACTTTCATCGCGACGCTAGTTTAAAAGCAATCGCCATGGCAAAGGTTGCAACCCAAAACAGAGTTGTTGACTTTGGCGTCAACAGCATGTCATGAGGGGCCCCGGGACGACTCACCCTTGCACTCGTACGCGTCCTGCGCGGTGGCCCGGCGCCAGGGGGCGTCGTTGTAGAAGGGCAGGCAGCGCTGGCAGTCCGGGCCGTCCGTGTTGTGCTCGCAGCGACACTCGCGGCCGCGACGCCCGCCCTCGCGCGCCTCGGTGCACACGGACGCGTGGCCGTTGCACTTGCAGCGCGCGCCCACCGCGAAGTCGGCGATGGCGTAGAAGTAGGAGCGCAACACCTGGGCGTCACCGAAGTACTCGTCGCCGAAGGTGTTCATGCGGTCCAGGGTGATCCTGATGTCGGTGGCCGACACAAACTCCTGCAAAGCGAGTGGAAGAAACGTGTCGTCAATGGCTAGAAACCACGTTGACAAGTGCGGGGGATCCAAATATTATGGGGTCCCAAAAGGATCAGAACGGTCAAGGAGACCCTTAGAGTTTCCTTGGACACCATTGACGGTCCTGATCCTTTTAGGGACCCCACAATATTTAGACCCGGAAACGTCTGGTACAACCGACATTTCGTTTTTTAGACAGTCCCCTAAAGACTGTCTCTACCAGAAGGAAAAGCCCCTCCGCCCCCCTCCCTTCCTTGTTCACGAATTCGTCATTTTGCGCACTCACCTGCATCTCCGCGGACGAATCGAAGAAGTAGGCGGCTGGTCGTCCCTCCAGCGTGGAGAAGGCGATGTTGCCGCCCGTGAGCGGGGAAATGTCGGAGTACTCGGAGGTGCAGAGCGCGCGGGTGTCCTCCCCCCGCGGCGCGTACTGGCTCTCGGGCAGCCCGTACGAGTCGCGGCACGTCGCACTGGAAACGGTCAAGAGATAGAGAGGCCCTTTTACTCAGATTGCCGCCTGTGGTGTGCACCCCACCCAGGAATTGTAATTTTCCGGATGAGTGTTTTGGAGAAAATTTTTAAGAATAACAAAACATCACTTACAT